GGCGGGGGCGGAGTCACGTGCCGCTCGCCGCCGGGCGGAGGGCCCGGGCTGGGAGCCGCGGAGAGAGGTGGGCTCCCCCGCCCACAAGGTCACCTGTGAGCGGTTGGGGGCGGGCCGAGTCCGCGTGCTGGCAGGTAGGAAGGGGAGGCTGGGCTCGCGTGGGCGAGCGAGGGCGTCCGCGCGGCTGGGCGCGGCGGGGAGTGGGGAGAGCGGGAACCGGGCACGGGCGGGGCGCCCGCGTGAGGGCGCGCGGTGTCCCGGCGACCCGCTGACCCTCCGCCGGGCGTGGGGCCCTCGCTGTGGTGGTCGCTGCCCTTCTGCTGTTGCTATGGAGTGCACCCGCCGGGACATCATCCCGGGCTCGGCAGGCACGGAAAGATAATGACGAGAAGGAGTGATCAGCTTCATCCGTCAAATCTGCGCCTTCCACGCCGGCGCTTCCTGCTCCTTCTCTGACCCGGGAGGTCCAGTAGATTGAATGGTGATAGGTCTCCAAACCCGGTGACTGTCATTTAAAAGTGAATGACTCTGGAAGGTTCTACAGTTAACCCCTTTCCCGAATTCTGATCTGTAGTCTAATAGAGCGGGCTGATTATTTTCTCTCTCTTTCTCTTTTTTGGAACTCCTGAATTCATAAAGCAACTACTAAGGAAACTAATGATTATTTTCTGTTAGCTGAGATGTGAGGTTCTCGCTTTTGGTTCCTTAGGTTAAATTGTACTTCCTTGATTTTTTTTTTTTTTTTTTTTTGAGTCGGAGTCTCACTCTGTTGCTTAGGCTGGAGTGCAGTGGCACGATCTCGGCTCACCGTAGCCTCGATCGCCTGGGCTCAGGCGATCTTTCCACCTCAGCCTTTCATGTAGCTGGAACTACAGGCGTGCACCACCACGACTCGGCTAGTTTTTTTATTAATTGTATGGATGAGGTCTCGCCATGTTGCCCGCGCTGGTCTCGAACCCTTGGACTCTGACAAGCTTCCTTGATCTTAATCGTGTGTTCATGTGATCTCTTAGGAACCCACCTCTTTCATTTATTTTTCTCTTTCTGTTCTTCAAATCTTTTCCAGCCGGTGGTTTCTATGTTGTTGCAGTCTCTTGTTATAAAATTTGCCTCCCAGTATAGTTTTTCCCAAGTGTCTTTTACTTGCTTTTTTTTCTTCTTGCTTATGTGTCTCCTCCTTGACTGTCTCATCAGTTACTTCCCATTGAATGCCATTCTTATGCTCCTGGTGCTGGACTGGTGCCCACATGTTAATGACCTGTGAGTACTCTAAACACTTCTCAAACCAAACTTGTTTTCTCTCACCCTCACTTCAAAACCTGCTTTTCCTGCCATACAATGTCATTAAGGTGAAGCTAAGAGGTAGGAAAATAAAAAAAAACACCCAAAAAACAACCCAGGCTCTGTGGCTCAGCCTGTAATCCGGTGCCTTTGGGAGGCTGAGATGAGTGGTGGTACATGCTTGTAGTTCCAGCTACCTGGAAGGCTGAGGCAGAAGGATCACCAGAGCCCAGGAGGTCGAGGCTGCGGTGACCGGTAGCGGCCACTGCACTTCAGTCTGGGCGACAGAGTGAGACTCCAACTCAAAACAAAACAAAACAAAAAACAAAAACAAACAAACAACCCCCCCCCGCTTTTCTTCCTGTGTTTCTCCAAGTCATCCAGATTTAAAACGTCCATTTATTTCTCCAACAAACATTTTCTGTATCTGATATGTCAGACATTGTTCTAGACACTTGGGTTACAATGGTGAACAGTAACTTATATTGGTGGGAGCAAAGAAACACTAAAATTGGTTAAGAAAGCACCAGATTATGAGATAAAGAACGACTGGAAGTGTTATTTTGGTTAGAGGATATCAGAAATGGCCTTCAGTTCAGGAAGATTTCTGAATTTGATAAAAAAACCTTGTGTATACCAGTAATGATTAACTAGGAATTTTAATAAAAAAAATACTACTTATGACAGCATTCAAAACTAAAGGTATTTAGAAATAGATCAAACTAAAGCTGAATAGTTCTTTAGGGAGAAAATTATAATACACTTTTGGAACACATAAAAGAAGACCAAAGTAAATAGTGAGATATACCATATTCATGGATGATAAGACTCAGCCTTAAAAAGATGTCAGTTTTCCCCAGTTCTACAAATTCAGTGTGATACCAATTAAAGTCACTACATGGTTTTATGGAACTTGACATACTAAGCCTAAAATGTATAAGAAAAGGCAAAGGACCAAGAATAGCTAAGTCAGTTTTGAAGAAGAAAATTAAATAAGGTCTCTCTCAGATAGCATAGCTTAATACAAAGCTGTAATAATTAAGACAGTATGATATTGGTTCAGGGATAGAAAAGTATCCCTGACCTTTTTTTGAGGACAGAATGTAAGCCCTAGTAACACACTTATGTACATATGGGAGCTTAGTATGCCACTAAGTGATATTGCCAAGCAGGGTGAAAGCTTAGACTGTTTAATAAATGATGCTGAAATATGTGGTATCCATATGGAATACAGACAAGATTAGATTCTTAATTCACACCATTCATGAGAATAATTTCCAAATAGATTGAAGACGTAAATGTGAAAGGCACATCTGCAAGATATTTTGAAAAATATAGAGGAAACTTTTGCCTCTAGGAAAGATGTCTTTTTTTGTTTGATTTGATATGGTAAAATATGCGTAAGATTTACCATTGTAACAATTTTGAGGTGTAGAGTTCTGTGCCATTCACATTGTTGTGCAACCATCACTACCGTCCATCTCCAGAACTTTTTTTTTTCTCTTTCTGGAAAGGATTTCATAAGTTAGAAACAGCACCATTGACCGGGAGCAGTGGCTCAAGCCTGTAATCTCAGCACTATGGGGGGCCGATGCAAGAGGATTGCCTGAGGCCATGGGTTTGAGACAGCCTGGGCAACGTAGTGAGACCTCATCTCTACAATAAATCAAAGAATTAGATGGGCATGGTAGCACGCGCCTGTAGTTCTGGCTACTTAGAAGGCTGAGATGGAAGGATCACTAGAGCCCAGCAACAGATCAACGCTGGGGTGCTACTGCACTCCAGCCTGGGCAACAGAGTGAGACTCCAACTCAAAAAAAGAAAAAGAAAAAGAAATGGCACCATTGAAGACACATTACTCCAAACAAGAAATATTGGTGCTTAACTAGACAAGAGTGGTAGCAGTGAAGATGGAGAAAAGTGGAAAGTGGATGGGTTTGGGATATGTTTTGATGGTAGAGAACATGAATTGTGCGTAGTTTGGATATACTGTGAAAACAAGTATTCAAGGGAAACACCTAAGTTTGTTTGCTTGAGCTACAAGGTAGATCATTTACCATTTACCATTCAGTTGATAGTGATGAAGAAGATAAGTGGAGGAAGTGTTTGGGAAGAAAAAATAAAGAATTCTGTTTTGGACAGTTAAATTCGAAAGGCTTATTTGGACATCCTAGTAGAAATGTTCCAATGGCTATTGGATAGATGAGTCTGGAAAGATTGTGGTTAGATGTCCTTTGGGATCACTGGCATATAGATATTTAAAACTGTGGTGTATTAGGATTATACAGAAAATACAAGATAACAATGGCTTACATATGCATATGATTGCAGATAACTCATGCCGTTCTGGGCATGATGCCTCATGCCTAAGATGAGTGCAGTAGTTCCAAGTGTTTGCTCATTCCAGCAAGAGGGAGGAGGGAAAGGTTAAGAAAGGCACATACTCTTCTTTTTAAGGACATTTTTCAGAAGTTGCATATGACACATCCATTCCTATTCCATTAGTCAGTTCTTAGTGAATGATCACATTTAACTAGAAAGACAGAAAAGATATAGTCTTTGTTCAGTTATCTTGTGCCCAGCTGCAAATAGGGTTTTATTAGTAAGAATGAAAGTGTGAAATGAGGCTGGGTTTGGTGACTCAGCCTGTAATCCCAGCACTTTGGGAGGCCAAGACAAGTGGGTTTGAGACCAGCCCAGGCAAGTTGGTGAGACTGTGTCTCTACAATAAATCAAAAAATTAGCCGGGTTTGGTAGTGTGCGCTTGTAGTTCTGGCTACTTGGAAGGCTAAGGTGGAAGGATCGCCTGAGCCCAGCAGGTCGAGGGTGCAGTGGCTGTGAGTGTGCCACTGCACTTCAGCCTGGGTGACGGAGTGAGACTCCAACTCAAAAAAAAAAGAAAGTGTGAAATGAAATGATGTTTCATTTCAGTATGATTTCTTCTTCAGCCAGGGCAATGATGCTGTCATTATGAAAATCTTTGTGACCTCCTTATTATTAAATTTAATAGCATTTTTGAATTTTATTTTATATTCATAATCTTTCCATTTTTACTTTCTTTGTCCTCCTCAAAATTTTTTCTCTATTCTCTGCTTAAGATCAGTGTTTCAGATTTAATGTAATCACAATCAAAGGTAAAATAAAATAGTGGTTGACAAGCTGATTCTAAAATTATGTGGAATTGCCAATGACATAGAATAGTTCATCTTGAAAAGGAAGAACAAAACTGGAGAACTTATACTACCCAGCTTCAAGATTACTATAAAACTATAGTAATCAAGACAGTGTAATATTTATATAAGAATAGGCAAATAGACCAGTGGAATGGAATAGAGAGTCAAATAGGTCTATATTTATATAGCAAAAAAACAAAATTTTTTTTGAGACAGGGTCTTGCTATGTTGCATAGGCTGGTCTCAAACTCCTGGGCTCAAGTCATTCTCCTGCCTCAGCCTCCCTAGTAGCAGGGATTACAGGTCTGTGCCTGGCTACAGTCAGTTGATTTCTGAACAAGGAATAAAGTCAGTTCAGTGGGGAAAGGAAACTTGTTTTAACAAGTGACATGGGAACTATTGAATATTCATATAGAAAAAAAAATGAACATCAACTTTTATGTCATCTAATACACAAAAATTAACTTGAGATGGATCATGGACCTAAATGTAAAAATTAAAGCAGGCCGGATGTGGTGGCTCACGGCTATAATCCCAGCACTTTGGGAGGCCAAAGTGAGAGGATTGCCTGAGCCCACAGGTTCGAGACCAGCCCGGGCAACTTGGCAAGACCTCATCTCTACGATAAATCAAAAAATTAGCCAGCATGGTGGTGCATGCCTATAGTTCCAGCTACTTGG